ATTGTGAAACAGTTTTTAATATTGGTTTGAAATAATTTGAACAATACTTAAAGATCTGTATAGCTAGATTTAGTTCGATTTATTTTTCTGACTTATAGTGCAATTTCTGTCGAGCGTATATTCAATTTTTTCTTGGATTGTCTAGTAGCGTTTCATGCACGTGTTTATTCCAATGTCCCGTAGGCTCTTGTATTCGTGTTTATCAGTTTTTTGTGCAGGCATGTACTATGTAGCTAGAAAAACTTACATCATTACGTGATTCGAGTTCTAGTCTAGATTAAAGGGGTTGCATGTTCTACTGATAGAAACTACTTTTAAGTAGAAAAGTTAGCCTTCATTTTGGTAAGTTTTTTTTACCCACACATGCAGCGATTTTGCTTTTGATAATTTGATTTCGGAGATAGCTGAGCATTTCTAAGTTGAATTTCGAACTCTTAGATGACAGCGTTGAATTAAAAAATTTCTTCACTCAGAATATTCCACAGATTTATGAAATAAATAATAGTCTTATAAGGGTTTCTATCTTTGAAATCTTGGATGACGTAACGGAAGATGTTTATTTTCTTTACAAAAGTTCGGATCGCATCTCGCACTATATTCCGACAGTGATAACACCGACTTAATTATGATGATATGGTAAGAGAGACAGGTGGATGGATGCCTTTACAGTTTAATGCCACGAACCAAGTCCTAAGTAGGTTATCGGTGTCGATGCATGATTGGGACTACAAGCAAAGGTGAGTAAGCGTTAATCCTAACGTACGCAGCAAGATGTGGTCTGACCTAAACGAAAGTACTTCCATACACACTTGAGTTTATTTTGAACAGTTGCCGTTTTGGAATAACTCGGCAAAAAAGTAAGAAAAATCGATCGATAAATAACAGAGTTTTACTGTTTAATTGATAGCCGTTCAAGATTAAACACTATATTATGCTCGTACGAATGGGAATACTTTCATAGATTCTTAGGTCAGTTCACTCAAGCACCATTCAAAACCTTGAATTTAAGTTTGCTTTTTATGCTTTTATTTTTGCACTTTTTGTTTGAGAAAACTTTTTTTTCTTTGTTATCATGTCTTTCTATGTTAATTATTTTACTTTGTAAGCTAAAAACTAATGCAATTTGGCTTTTTCTGTGCATTTCATTAAAAGTTAGACATGACACAGAGGTGAATATAAAAAAATTACTTTCTCAACTGATAGAATAGCGTCTCTGAGCGCATTGCTTTGTCATTTGATTCCTTTTCAAACTGTTAGGGAATGAAAACCTATTTTTGTTGTCAAGTATACTTAGAATATATTCTGTTTATTTTTTGGGAGCTTTTACTTATGGAACACAGGTGAATAATAATATATAGGAGATTGACTTTAAACAGCAAATTGACAACAGGAAAATAATAATTTAATTTAATGACACAAATTGAAGAATAATCACAATATACTTTAAACCATAATTGGTATTTTTAACCAGAGGAATCTGCTTAGAACGATACCTCGTACGGTAATTAGCGATAACAATGATACTATTGTCTTTCTCCGCTGCATTCATGATCATCAGAAGAAAATTATAGACATGACCTCAAAAAACATAATTACACACCATATAATGATCATGATGTGCAATAATTAAAACATCATGTATTAATTAAAACTTTTCAAATTAATTCAAGAGTAATATTCCCAAAGTAAAAGCTTCCTAAACAATTATTATTTTGAGTTGCTCGTACCTTGCATCACTAACACTCTCCATGCTACCCACTGGTCGGCTCTGTAGGCCGAGGATGAGGTCAACAAGTTGCAGAAGAAGATGCAGCAGCTCGAGAACGACCTCGATCAGACACAAGAGGCTCTCTTAGCCGCTAACAACCATTTAGAGGAGAAAGACAAGGCCTTGTCTAACGTAAGTCGTGGTAGTCGGTGAGTACCGCCATTCGCGCGTTAATTTTTCTTGCAGCGGAGACCCAAGCAATTCGTACCAACAACGTCCGGTGAATTAACAGCCGCCACGCTAGCTTTCAACTTAACGCAGCTCCTGACCTTTCGACTTTTTCTTTCGCGTACGAGTGAAGGCTGAGGAGGATGTACGTAACCTGCAGAAGAAGATGCAGCAAATTGATAACGAGCTGGATTTGGTCCAGCAGCAGCTCGCGCAAGCCAGCACAAAGCTTGACGAGAAAGATAAGGCTCTCGCCAACGTGAGTAGACCGAAATTATTTCGGTCGCCTGCGCAGCAGGCCTTTATGTTCGTTTATTTACTTTCGGTTTCTCTTTTGCTTTGCGATGGCTTACCATAGGCTGAGGAAGAGGTTCACAATCTTCAGAAGAAGATGCAGCAACTTGAGAACGACATTGATGTCGTTCAGGAGTCCCTCCTCAAGGCTAACACACAGCTCGAGGAAAATAACAAAGCTCTCCAGAACGTAAGTCGAGCAATCCCAGAAATTGCTCGCTTGTATTACCCTGGTGAGATGGACCTATATACCAACCATGCAATCACACAGTGATCGATCCTGCTTGATCATACCAGCCCAAACTTTACATGAGCCCTCCTGCCAATAATAACTGCGATACTCTCCCACCCGAGTACTTCACGATGACCATGAGAAATTGTCTATGGCAAAATACCGACAAATTTTCGCTAAAAAAATTGAAATCAACTATATGAGATGAATTTAAGTCTGCAAATCTCAACGGGACTATTTCTGATAAATAATACTACAAAAGAAAATAACTTTAAAAAATTGAATTTCCAATCATTTACATCTTCCAAAGCCAAATTGATATGCTTCTTGTACCTTTGTTCACTAAGTTATTTTTGTTTGTAATAAATAATTAATTTATTGTATATTCGACAATAAATGTAGATATTCAGTTCACCTTTTGACTTCTTCAGTTATTAACAATTGCTTCACATTCATTGATTTAATTTTAAATAATTTTTGGTTACGATCTGTCTATGTTCATAGCTTATGTTAAGAACGAAATAATAGCCTGCGATGAAATAATTGAAGAATAGTATGTGAGATATTTATCATGCGTGAATAATTAGAATTTGGTCTTCATTGGAAAATTAGAAAAAATTGGTTCAAATATGAATGAAAATTCACCCAAGTTCTCCTCTCCTTATTTTCTCATCCAAGCTTACAATAATTATCGTTAAATTCTGAGTGTTCATTTAACATTGTTTATCTAATATTTAAGAAACTTGCCAATTTGTTTCATCCGGTTTTTGTGCTGGTATCGTCTATTTTAGGAATAATTTTTAATTGCAGTGATACCTTCATTTCATTCAAGCAGTTAGGCGTATATAAGACTAATTTCCATAATAATATAAGTCCACTTTGTTGTGGAGATCAGTACACTCTCATTATTTCATAATTTTGCGCATCTTCCATTCCATTCATCCATATCATTAATTTTAATATTTTTTACTTAACTAGCAGGAGCTTTTGTTGCGTACCGCTGCAATGATAATGAGTTCGTCCAAAGAGACTGCATGCGTTCAGAAGGTGTCTCCAATAACTTCTTTTTAATTAAATGAAATACTCGAATGAATAAAAATGGAGGTATTTCTCAGTGATGTGGAAACCAAATGAACAATTAAATTGTCGTCAGCAGCAGACGGATCCCTACGACAGAAAAGGAATATATAATTTTGTTCTAACATCTTCTGAAAGGCTTTTGAAAGACGAAGAAAATGGTAAAAGAAGTCACACGGCAACCAAATTTCCAACGTCAAAATACAAATAATTGGGACACCGACGAACATCAATAAGATTCTATGACCAAGTCTGGGATCAGGCAAGTTAAGACAACCCGACACATCGCGCAGTTGGTGAGTACTAATGGGATAACTACGAGCCTATATGACAGCAGTTGCAGACAGAGTTTGGAAATTTAGAAATTAATTAAGTTAGATAACTTTTGTAGAAAGAATTTGAAAATTTAGAAAATTAGTTAAGTAACTTAGATAACTTAGTTTGAAGAAAGGATGTTGCGTTCAATTGTAGATAAGGCAACTTAGATGACTGCTGGGGGGATTGATATTAAGATAAATTAGTACAGAATTATTTAACTAGCAGAGAACCCAACGGGAATTTTCCTGATTATTTTCTTGCAGAAAGAGGCCCATCGAAGATAAGCTTCTAAGATACTACGTAATTAGTGAATTTTAGTAATATACGAGTACTTTCGTTCGTATAATTTTTTCTTGTGTGCGAAATTCTCAAGAAACTCGTTGAAAGTATCTCTATAGTTTGTTTTAAAGCATGTCAGGTAATTTGGAAACTTAGAGGCAGCGTCATCACAGCATGATTTCATGGTTTACAAATGAAGTTATTAGGATGACAAAATCCGATTGTAATTTTCGTGATCTGGCATTGCTAGAACGTATAATTCGTGACAGACCAGCCCGGCCCAGGTTCTAAGGAATTAATGCGAGTGTTTGGAAGAAATATGGCAATTTCTTCATTGATATGTGTAGTTTTAGCTCCATTCACAGTTGTCTCACCTAACTTCCTTATCGCCATTCATAATAACTAATATACTGGAAGAGAAAAAAAATACAAACACAATTTCTCAATCGCGTTCAAGAATTTTCGCTTAAACTAAGGAAATATATAATGGAAATGTTCGTGTAACCAATAACATGAAGAAAACTAAAAAATTAAATTAAAAAATTTCTGTTTTCTGGAAAGTCAAATTATGATCCGTGACCGAAGAGTGACTGATTTTCTCGCAAGCTCTTTCTCTAGGCGCCTTGGTCACACAAATAGTTTTTCTGTCACGCGCACTTGAAGTAACGTTTGCACACGCATGATGCAGTTAACGGTTTCTGAAGGGAAGAGCGAGCACGACACTCCTCAGTCCTGAAGCACTAAGTATTAATAGAAGGCGCAAGGCGTTGGCAGGGGTTGGCAGTGCTCTGGCCATTTATGGCTCACCTTGCCAAGCCATGCTTCTGCTTCTTCAGCTCGCATGCCCTCAGTGCACTGAACGAAACCGAACACGAGACTATAGGCTGCTCTGTGGCCCGGCAACAGAGCACCAAACCTAGGTTAGATGCGACAAATATCTCGATTTGACGATAAATGAACGTATCATTACTTCGAAATCAACTAGAATTGCACGCAAGTATTACCTGTTTTCTTAAAAAGTAATAAAATCGAAGAGTGGGACAGATGTTCTTTTCAACAGGCGCGACGCACATCTACCGCTATCCCTCACTGGACGATGGCACAGACTTGAATAGAGCGCGCCCAGTGCGGTTCTAGGTCGTGCGATGGCCACCAGGTGAATTTAGGGCGCTTGCGTCGGCTGTAAACAGTGTTGTGAGAAACATGGACAGTATCTCCTCCGACACGTCCGCTGAATTGTGCAATGGTTTTAGCGTCATAAATAGTGACAATGTTAATAATAATGTAGGTGAGAACGCTGTAAATGTTTCTCCTATCGGAAGAGAACAAATACTAGAAAGAAGTGGCCATGGGAACCAAGAAAATTGGCTTAATATAAGAACGCGGCAAGCGCCGAGTGATACGCACGGTGGTGACGAGGAGCTCACAAACGTGCCTGTGATATCAGCTGACTCTGAAAATAATAACGAAGTAGAAGAAATTAATCACGGTGGTGACTCAAGAACTATTGAAAGTGAAGGCAATGGTGGTGAACAGTTGGAAGCTACTGACGTTGAAAAGACATTAGAAAATGACAAGGAAATTGAGGAACTCTCAAAATTACGATGCCAAAGTGTGGCTACGGAAGTAGTTGCAGCTCGGTACAAAAGGAGGTGTTCTGATTATCCAGGCCTCGCCTTCGGTCGGTCTATATTCAGCTCTAACACTATGATGAAATTCAGTGTTATTAAGAATGAACTGCACAACATCATGAACGTGCAGTTAAGACGGGTCAGTATTATAAGTAAGCAAGAGCATCATTTTAATGGTTCCTATTATTTTCAGATAATTTTAATATTTCTTCGTTCCTATAATCAAATCGGATGAATTAATCCGGGCATCAGCAGTGCTAGCAGAATATTCCAAACAATCTGCCCAAATCATATCGGTAGCAAAATTTACAGGGCAAGAATCATATACCTACACTATCCAAATCATTACATTTGTAATTTTTCTGATGCATGAACCATTGTTGAATGGAAAGCAGTTGACAATCATTTCCTTGTTGTCTACACCTCTAACACCGCCAACTCAGCCTCAGACGCATTCCTTTGGTCAAGTCAACAAATTGACTAGCTGGCAACTGCGTCGGCATGAACCGTTCTTGATGCTGATGCCGACGTGCTTGTATGTGCAATAATGCGTTGAGTTCAATAAATACATTGACTCCACTCATATATAATCTTTGTATGTAACTTTTTAATGAAAACTATAGGTTATTAATTATTTCAAACATAATTTTTATGTCGTAAATTCGGTTTAATTTGAAATTCTAAAAAATGAGCATTTTACATACAATTTACATCGTAAATTCTGCATTACCGAATCCCGCGAAAGGACTTGCTTGCGGTAGTACGTGGATAAAAAATATTTTCGTAGTACCAGTAAATTTGTTCTCATTAAATAATGCATCTTCCACTTAACCCGCATATGCCAACTGCTGTCATTATTAAGCGGATGCGATACAATGACACTTGATTCGTTAAGTTTACAAATAATGAGCTCCATATAATTTTTGAGCGAACAAATTTTTTTTTATTTTCGTATTTTATTTTTTTTATTTAGGTATTTTATTTTCGTAGATGTTTTAGTTTTCGTGCATTGTGATCATTTTCGAAGTTTCAACAATCTTGACAGCAGACTATTTCTTGCGTTCGAGTCCACGGCAACGAACTGAAATAAAATCGAATTCCTTCGTCGCGTATGGAAGCTTGGATATATATTTTTTTCTGGGGACCGTTTGCGCACAATTCGGATAGGAACTTTAAATGTCTGTAAACCAAAGAAAAAAATCGCGCTTTTTGGTCGTTTCATGCTCGAGAAATTAGTTTACCTCAATGTGAGACATCAACAAACTTCTTGACAAACCTCCTTAATGGAGACGATAATTTTACTATAGGCCGTCGAGCAGTAACAACACAAAAAAAAAACTTTTTAGCGCATTTTCTCATTTATGGAAAAAATGCACTATTGTGCTCGCCATGTCCGTCCGTCCGTCCGTCTGTCTGTCTGTCTGTCTGTCTGTCCGTCTGTCCGTGTCCTCAAGTTTTCGTCGACGAGAAAATGCGCTCTGTCACTCTCTGCAAAGAGTACCGGTACTGAGTTATATTTTTCTTCAAAAGGTGTGATGCATAACAGCGAATTCCTCATCCTATCATAGGTATCGCGGGTTCTGAAGAAAAACAGTACAATTTGATATTTATTCCTCAATAGAAGGCCTCCTTAGAGCATATATCGCACCTGAATATGTAGAGGGTGAGCTCAGCTTAGACGTTGAGTGTACGAGGGCTTCATTGCCACCAATTCTGCCCGGTCGTGTTGCTAGGAGCTGATGCTCTGACGTACACTCAGAGGACGAATGAGACGTTGTCTAAATAGCGACGTACGTTTTGCTCTTGTGTGGCTCAACTTGATCCAGTGTGGCACAACAAAAGGGCGTATCAGTGCTATGAGCAGAAAGCGTGTCCTTATTTGGACTACGATATGACCTATTCATTATTAAGAGTGCAAGAGATGTTTAGGCAGCAGGGAGAAAGACAGTGCTTCTCACCAGATTTTTCATTTTCTCTTTCGCATCTCTGGCTGAATCCTACATTTAAATACGTGGACTGTGAATTAAGCAAAGTAGTTAATTATCTTGGTGCGAAATAGTTTATCGGGAATTTGATAAATGCAGTTATTACGACAATCATGAATTCTTTCTTCATGGTAAAATAGACACCCCAATTTCTCATGTTATCTTGATATTTTCTCATTGTTGTTTTTGAGGTAAAGGAAGTCTTATCGGAAATTTAAAGCATTTTCAGTGTCACCAATAAGTCGAGCACTTGATGAACAAGTCGAGCAATTCAGACTAAGAAGCTTTTAGTTAGAGCTGCCAATTGCATTGGAGTTGTCACGGCCATTGAACTATTGTAGGTTTCAATGATTATATTCAAAATGATTATATATTATTAGATGTGAAGAGAGACTAATTTCTCCGCTCCAATTAATTAAATGGCCTTAGCAGACAGGCCTCATCGGAAAAAGCTATTATCTTCCTTAAGTTGGACAAAGAAACTTTTTAAGGTTTCTCGGTATGACAGTATCTCTTATCACTGCTAATTAATTACTGTTTACTTGTTTTTTGTTATTTTGAAGCACTGATTTTGTCGGTGAAATGACGCGTGCGCAGCTTAATTCCGGCGGAAGAGACTGGCTTTTAATAATTAATTTCTGTATTCATTGATAAAAAGGCTATAAAATTATCCTAGAACTGCATTAGTTCATTATTTCCTTTTTTAGATTCTGTGACGGTCTATTTTTGTTCTTTAATTACATTTGATATCAAATCACTTGAAATTAAATGGGCTACAATGTAACGTTGGTGTTTTCGAAATCTGCGACGCTTTCGTCATGAATTGAAATGATCACTTTTCATGTATTTTCGGGACTAGCAGCTGATTTTTTTGAACGACTTTTAAATCGTGTTTTTATTGGTAGGTATCGTTATGCAAGTATTCAACCAACACGAGAAACGAACCTAACGTCCTAGCTACAGCAAATAATGTAAAGCATCTAAGATGATTTCAAAGTGCATCTTTCGAAAAGTGCATCTTTCAAAAGCACCTTCCGAAACGATCAAAGTGCATCTTTCAAAAGCATCTTCCAAAACAATCAAAGTGCATCTTTCAGAAGCATCTTCCGAAACCGTCTTAAATCATTTTATGTTGCACTGGGTGTAAAATACTCAACGATCTTCTACCTTTACATACGGACACAGCTCGTTTTTTACATCGACCAGTATCGTGAGATTGCAAGATTAGCTAAGGGGAAATGACTCATGTTTGATTACGTCGAAGGCATGCGTCACATTCTGCCTGCTTCCCCCACGTCGCCACTGAAATGGTTTCTTGATTAATTATCTGCTTTGCTTTCTCTGCGTTTGGATTCACTATAATTACTTAATTTGTTCGTCCATTTCACTAGGAGCCCGAATTCTCGATCAATGTTAGTTACTTCAAGGTTTAGCATAATTTCTTTCATCGATGAAGGCCTTACAACATGCGAATTGGGATTTAGCTCTGTGAATACTGAAGATTATGCATGCGTCTCTAGCCAACACATGTCGGAACAACGTCACCCAATTTACACAAATTTAAAGACATGAAGTTGGTTTCTCAGCAATTGTTGCGAGACGCTAAAGTTTTAGCGTCGTAAGTTCTGGTATCAAGTCTTATGATTATGATTTCAGAGCTTGAGTGCTCTGAAATTCTGATGCTAATTGGTTACTCAATCTACGAATTTTTAATTAGATTTTACAGTAGCTATTACGTATTAAACAGCTGCAGAGATCATTGTATGTGATTTGGAGAGGTACCGTAATATATGGCGCTCAAAGTAAAATGGCAAGCTGTTAATAATTTGTTCGATAGAATAACTGGAGTATTAATCTCCTGTGCAAGAGTACCTATCCAAGGAAGACTTTCATCTACTCATTAAAGCGCATTCCTTCTAACTGGTTGAACGAAACAACAGTTCTTTTTTGCGCGTTTTAATTCGGTGCATATTACTTTAATTGATGGGCGATTGATAGCATAACTGCGGCAGATATAAAAATTTTAAATTTCACGGAAGACAAAAGCACAAAGTGAGTTTAAAAACGCACGCTTCGGTTCACGTGCGGCGGATTTAAACTTGACATCGCCCCGCAGGCCTCTTGCTCGCACCCACAACCTTGACCTCCGATTCAGCTGTTCCCTCTCGACACATCCTACGGGTCTAATTAGTAATTGCAATGCAAAAATAGTCAACATGGCTGGCTGTAGATTGAGTTTCAAGCATAGTTCTTGTTTTGTTTAAAATTATTTGGTATTCTTGACGTAACTGGATTTGAACTGGGACATGGGTTATTCTGTAGATGATGGTTTTCGTTTCATGATTCAAAATTTCATTTTCATTCAAGTTGTCATCAGGATAGAAGGGTATCAAGAAATTCTAAGTTTGCATGAGATTGAAAAATGTATAATGTGTGCTTGAGTGTGCCAATGTGGTATTGTTGAAGGGTCTAGTGTTGATATAATGGTGTCGAGTTTGCTGTCGCAAGTCGCCGTTGATGTGACCTTGCTCTCTCGAACAGGTGATGTTGGAACTGCAAGGGATATTTGCTTACTAAGTTGCTAATACTTCCTGGGAAATGCAATCGTTAGTTCTGTTATGTGATTATAAATTTCTGCTGATCAGTTTCAAGTTATGAAGCCTAAAAAGAAACATTAGTGCTAGTTTGTGGTGCAGCTGATTTGCACCATTCGTGTTCGTTAGTTTGTTGGTTGTTGGAGCGGCCAGTGGTGGAGTATCGTGGGTCCGGAGTCGAGCCGACTTCAGTTAGTCTGTGAGAGTCGGTGGCAAAGCAGTGTCTGTGATAAGCCTCTTTGACAACAACACATTCCAGTATGACTACTATCGGGAAAGGCACAGACCTCATGGAGGTGCTCAAGAAGAAGATGCGCCAATCCAAAGAGGATTTAGAGCGAGTTAGAGACGAGAACGAAGAGCTTGCTCATAAATTACAACTGGAAGTTGCTCGTCGTGAAACGGTAAGCAGCGTAACAAAATCGTAGGCTGAAAAGTGATTCATGACAGAATGTGTCAATTTATTCATCATAAGGCCGATATGAGTAGCTTTAGAGCAAGGAAATACATTTAAAATTTAAATATGCTTTAATTTACTGCTAATAAAAACGACGCAAAGC